ATCAGTGCACCACAGCCGATAGCCTTTCACCCCATGTGTATAACCCAAAAATATGCACTTCTTCGCCCTTGGCTCAAGCTTACCATCACTCGCATGAGCATACGCAGGACATCCGAATACTCGTAATCCGGAGTAATCAACAGGTTTCCCTGACCATACTTCCTCAGGAGTCTTCCACTCTATAGCAGATGATGGAGATCGATTAACTAGGTAACATGCCATGTTCACTGCTTCGGCCCAAAATTCCGTACCTATTCCTGCATGCGAAAGCATGCTCCGAGCTCGCTCCAGTAAAGTTTTGTTCTTCCGTTCTGCAACGCCATTCTGCTGTGGTGTCCCGGGCACTGTGCGGTGTCTCACAATCCCTTCTTTCTCGCAGAACTCGATAAAATCTCTACCACAGAACTCCATGCCATTATCAGTTCTCAGACGCTTGATCTGTTTATCTGGCTGTTTCTCAATCAATGCCTTAAACTTCTTGAACCGATCAAACACATCATATTTGTGCTTCAGAAAGTAAACCCATACCTTTCTAGAGTAGTCGTAGATAAATGTCAACATATATCGGGCACCTCCTTTCGAAGGAACCGGAGACGGGCCCCAGACGTCTGAATGAATGTACTCAACCGGTCGCTTGGTCGAATGAACAGCTGTTGTAAACTTAATCCGGCGCTGCTTCCCAAAGATGTAGTGCTCACATAAGTCCAGCTTCCCTGTCTTATGACCCTTCAACAACCCCCTATCACTCAGCATTGTCATACCTGCCTCACTCATGTGCCCCAAACGCATATGCCATAATTGAGTCAAGTCAGAATCTGACTCACCTAATGAAACTGCAGCAGCTGCGGTCACGGTCTCTCCCAGTAGATGATAGAGAGAATTCACTTTCTTTCCCTTCATCACTGTCATGGCACCTCGAGAGACCTTAAGCACTCCACCTTCAGCGGTGTACTTACACCCGATATCATCGAGTGTCCCCAGAGAAATAAGGTTCTTCTTAAACTTTGGTACATGCCTCACGTCTGTCAGTGTACGTACCACCCCATCGTGCATCCGAATCCGAACTGTTCCTATCCCCACAACATTGCAGGTTGCATTATTCCCCATCATGACTCTACCACCATCTACAGTCTGGTAAGTAGTAAACCAGTTCCTATGAGGCATCATATGATAAGAACACCCCGAATCTAGCACCCATTCGTCTCCTAACGAACCAGTAGTCACACACAAGACGGCTTCTGCATCACTAATGCTCTCCTCAGCAACGTTTGCCACACTGCTTGTAGCATTCTGCTTGTCACCTCTATTTCTCCGCTTCGGACAATCTCTCCTGATGTGCCCCTCCTCGTGACATTCAAAGAACTTCACGCGTCCTTTAGACTTTCTATTGCGTGACTTTGACCTGCTTTTACCTTTGCTGCTACTGGACCCTCGATGTTGTTCTCTACCTCGAATCACTAGTCCTCGCGCTACATCCTGCGCTAGACTGTCATCTCGCAACTTCCTCTGCCACTCTTTAGAGAACAATGCTGACTTTACCTCTTCCGAGGTAATAGTAGTACGCCCCTATAGTAGTGAATCAGTAAAGTGCTCCCATGATTCCGGTAAAGAAGTCAACAACATCATGCCTTGTTCCTCATCATCAAGTATCTTACCGACATTCTTCAAATCCATCATGAGTTTATTAAATTCATCTAGGTAGGATCTGATCGACGTACCTTCAATATATCAAAATTGAAACATCCTCTTCAACATGTACAAGCGATTATTCAAACCCTTTGTTACATAGAGTGCCTGTAATTTTGCCCACAATGCAGCGGCATCCTTCTCCTCAACCACCTCTATTAACACTTCATCCGATAAATTCAGTAGGATTATACTCTTTGCTCTCTCCATTAGCTCTGCTTTATCAGCCGCTTTCATTATAATGGGTAACCCATCTTCGCCATCTAATGCTTTGGCCAAACCTTGGGTTGTCAATAGCGCACGCATCTTAACGCTCCATAACTCAAAGTTGTTTCTCCCGTTAAACTTCTCAATCTCAACTTTCGCTCCAGATATAATTGCAATAGCAGAATTTCCAGATAATAATTAGACAAGCAAAAGCCCAAAATCACAATCTAGAAAATCCAACCCTCAAGCTCTGATACCAATTGTTGTAATATAATGCGGAAACGATAGGATCTTGCAAATTAAGTCAATGCGACAATACCAGAGAAATAAACGATGAACGATAAAGGACACCAGAGATTTACGTGATTCGGTCCGAATATTGGTACTTACATTCACGGGGAAAGCTAGCAACAAATAATCCACTATAATCGGAGAATCAGAGTTACAATTCGCTTAACGCTCGAGTGTTTTCCACACCTAGATTTAAGCCCAAACCCAAAGTATTTACCAATAAACAACTCAATTGGACAATATAAACTCACAAAACAAATCTGGATCTCTTCGTGCGGCCGAGCCTTGAGAACGTTTGTGCATTCTGTTTTCTTTGTTCTTGCGGCTCTGTAGAGGACTTCCCTATACGGCGGCTCACTCTCATTGAAGAAGACGCGTGCCCTTTTATTCCTCTCCAGAACAAACCCTTTTCGTCAAAACCAAAAAGACAAGAAAGTCCTTCTGAGACAAATTAGCAAAACTTCGTATAACGTGAGCAGAACTTCCCTTTTGTTGTTTCTTTGCTCCATAAAATAAACCTTTAATATATTTATTAAAAGTGCCCCTATTTCGTCCTTTAGTGTCCAATATGCCCTTATTGCTAAAGACGTCCACAGTACGTACCTGGAGAGGATTTCCTTTCGTGAGCAATCTTCAATATTATCTCCAATAGAAAAATATCTTCACAGTCAAATATTGAAATTTATCCAAGTGAGTCGCGTTTCGTAAATGGCTCAAACTCGAGTCATAATTTAACAAATGTTGTATGTGTGTCACCTACTAATTAAAGGTCTGAGCGGAGAAAGTTTCACCTATTAGAAATTAGAACATCATAGCCCCTAATGATTTATCTATATTACGGACGTTAACGTTGGCCTTGGTCGAGCCTGTGATCAGACTTAAGCCCAAAAGAAGAGCCGACATGTTTATCCCGTCCGAGTCAAATTTTCAAGAAGTTTGAAACCCTAGCACTCGTAATATTTTGTTATTAAAACAAACAATGCGTCTTTATCAAAAACATAAAAAAATTTAAAGAAATAGTTATTTTTATCCGACCCTCTATTTTTCGACACGCTTAGGTTCACAGAAAGTTTCAAATGTGCTGATACAATTCTTGGTGGAGGACAAAAGCGTCAAAAACAAGATGCTTCGGAAAAATATATGGTAAGATAAGACGGTTGGTCTCATGTCTTTTTTAGTGTTTCCTAAACAAGGCCTTATGGACATGAGTTCGTTGTGAGAAGAATTAGAATGGTGGGAACGTAGAAAAGGACTTTCCAACCTCATTTCCAGCGAATATGTGCAATTCAATATTGCAAAGCACGTCCAATTTTTTTTTTGGATGAATTGTAATTTTTTAATCAACCTAACCCAAGAGCAGTTTAGAAAGGCCATTCTGTCCGTAACTACACCGCTTTAGGGGACCCTCCCTCCTACCAAATGGGAATCTCAAACGGGGACAAGTGTGTGCAGGGCGTAGCAATATGCCCTATTGAAGAGAATCGTTTCGTATACGATGATGTTGCGCAGACCATAATGATAAGCTTTTCGTGAAGAGACAACGTGAATATTCCTCGTGTGTGTTGGACGGTTAGAGGCCGTGAAGAAAAAGTCGAGCGCGAGAGTTGACTCGGTGGATTCGTCAAGCTAAAGTATGTCGGGTTGGTGATGCACGTCCAACTATCGGGGAAAAATCAGGGAAGCAACTCCTGTTACACAACTCAGAGAGGTACTGTCCAGAACATGATGTTCTGTTGCTGTCCGACCACGTTCTCCTCCTAGTATCAATGGAACCAGGAATCCTTCTCCCGACAACGCTCTTCATCCTCCGCACAATCGAGTTGAACATCGACAGATGAGGTGGAGTCATGTAAACATTGACTCCTAGCAATTTAAATGGTATGTGTAAAGGCATTCTAGGACGATTTGTAAAGCACGAGTCACCTCATTATTCCAGGCATCAGGATTTCGACAAACGAGATGCGATTCCAAAACAGCGGTCCAGATTCTAATCGAAACCAGGATAGCTGAAAAAAGAGCGATCTCTGTCTTCTACATCATTATTACATTAAGCAACACAATGGAGAAAACCTGCATATGCCGCTTCAAGATTCTATCCTTGGTCGCAAGGCTATTCGGCGCAGCCAACCAGGAAAATAATGGAGTGGTGTTGGTATGCTAGGATTACTACTTTCGACCAATTCACACCATGTCTAAGAGAATTCCGTGCGCTACCAACTGCAGAAATGCCTCATGGATGAAGCCTCCAGATAACATGATCAGATGCAGCCACAAAGAGCAAATCTTTTAATTCAATTTGTGATCCTGCAACATCAAGAAACACTATCGTGCACGAAGAGATGCTATATGCGAAAGAGATGCTAACTCGAGCCTTGCATGGGAAGGAGATCAGGGATAAGCTTAAGATGTCCCGACAGGACCATTTTCATGGGAAGTTATCTTCTTAAGTAAGACATTTTCATCCATTCAAGTCAATCAATTTCATGTCAAGCTTTATAAACCTTACCATTTTTTTTTCCGAGATAAGATCGGCATTAACCAAACTGATTTGATTGAATGCAAATAAAGTACTCCGAAATACCCACACGAAAATTTATAGGCCGCGCTTTTTCCACTCCTACTATGGCTAAAACACTCCCCATAATAGTGTTTTGACAATATTAGCATTTTTGGATCCCACCTTTTTAAGCAATTTTATGAAAGTATTTTCCTTTTTTGTTTGGCCTATCATTTTCGTTTGTTTTCTTCTCTCTCTCGTGGGTCCCATTTTCCTTCTTCATATTTACTTTTCTCCGTTCCCTCCTAACTCGATCATGGTTTTAGCTTTGTTGGTATCTGATCTGAGATCTCTTGATGGAATCGGCAATGCTCTCGCATTCAACTAAAAAAGAACACAAACACCCTAGAATTTCTCAGTCGGCAAATCTCCACAAAATCAGGCTCAAAATCATCTCCACGTCATCGATTCCAAGAGCGTAAGCTTGAGTGCTTCCATTCGTATTCCGATCGACCTCGATCTCAAGCAGCTTCTAGACCTCGCCTCTCTCCTCGACCTCCCTCATCTTCATCGCTAAGAACGTGTGCCTCTTCTTATCACCTCCGTCCTCTCCCTCTCCACCCTCAGCCTCTCTAGCTTCTTCCTCATCACGATCAACTCCTCTGCGAGAGACACATCTAGTTGCTCCACCTTCGCCAGAGGAGTCGCGGCGGCGTGGGACAGCGGTTCTCCTTGTCTGACTTGAAGAGCATTGGCGAGATCTCGATTCCAATCCTCTCAAGCTTTGGCTTTGGTTTCGGTTTTGGCTGGTTGTCGACGGGAAGAGTAGTCGGAGAGTTCCTCGGTTGGAGAGGCTTTCGACTGAAGCTTGTCATCCTCGCCGGTCGAAGGTTGGAGTGCTTGCATCTTCATCTCTTAGTTATGACCGTGAACAGCATGATTGCCAACATCATCATCATTATCATCATCATTGTTAATGTTATTAACCGCTTTGGTCTTGTCGAAATTGTCTTCCTTCTCATCCTTTGCAACGAAGCTCTGACCATCGCCATTATTGTTGCCTTGAGAATCACCAAAAGAAGGGCCTTTGCTAGATAGGCGTGGCGAGGAAAGTGTCTTATTGCCAATCATTATCACCATTGTCTTCTCTTCATACACCTCCACAGCATTATTGTGCCCTTTTTCCATCGCTCGTCTTTGCTTCACCCTGTTTTCTTCATCTCTTTGGGTGTTCCTCGAATTGCAGGAGAGTTTCCAGTAGGAACAGGCCAATATCAAGAGAGCAAAGCCTATGATCCCCAGCATTAATGCCAGGCCTTCAAACAAGTACAGCACAAGAGAGTGCCACGGTGACTGCTGTGACGCCATTGTCGATGTTGAAGCGATAAATGGAAAGGGGGAGCAGAGAGGGATATACGTGTGCAGAGAGAAGTAAATGAGAAGAAGGAAAGTGGGACTCGTGAGAAAAGAGAGAGAAGAAAACAAACGAAACACCACGTACAAAGAAAAAATATGCCTTAAACAAATGAAACCCATAAAGGTTAATATTGTCACAATACTATTATAGGGAGTGTTTTAGTAATAATGGGAGTGGAAAAAGCGTGGCCCTTGGATAAACTGATTAAATTTGGAGTGTTGTTTAACATTGAGTAATGTGGTAATTTTCCTTGTAATGGGTTTCGGTCAATGAAGATTGAAGGTGTTTTCTCTTATTTTTCTTCTTTCATCTCTTTTTTTTTATTATGTTTGGGAAAAGTGGGTATTGATGTATTCCTTGTTTAGTGTTGAATCTGATTCAAGTTTATGCTTTTTAGGATCTTTAGTGAGGCTTTTTGGCATTGCTGATTTTCTCTCCTTTTGGGGATCTGTTTTACTTTCACCAAGTGAAAAAATGTTTATCAACCCGTTAACTTCTAATTATTGAACTTACGAATTTCTTTGACCTAGTTAAGATAGGGCACGCATTTGATTTTTTGAGTGGATTTTTAGTATTCTTTCATTAAAAAATTTTCCGAACCGGTTTCCATTGACCTTTTTCTTTTTGCAATCCATTTGGAATGATGATTTTTTTTTTTGGTCAGATGGCATAATGTTTTCAAGATGCACATTTTGATATCTCCCCATAATATTGGTCTAATTATGGTTTGGTCTCAGTAAATGATGAAGGGTTTTTTCCTTAGTTTTCTTCTCATTTCAATAGGTTAATTGAAACTTTTTACCAATTTATTTCCGGTTCTTGAGAAAGTGGAAAACAAGTGGGCACGCCAAATGCATTTTCGCATGTTAGTAGGTAAATCTTTTGGTGGCGGTGCAAAGTATGGTTGGATCCTTCCTCTATATTATATTGGGTTGGTTTTGAATAGAGAATGGCTTCCATATGTTGCACAGCCACCAATTAGATCAAGAGAATATCATTTGATTGAGTTATGTGCTTTTAGGGAGATGATTATGGTGGCATTTTCTCTGAAAAATGAATTGCTAGGATATTTATGCAGTTTTGTTTCCGTGCATTTTTTTTTCTAAATTTCAAATGGCCTACTTTACTGTCTTCTATACAGGATCATTCCATGTTGGTAGTTTAGACCAGCACCATACAAGCACTACAAAAAAACATGAATTTTGCGACGGAAATTTTTCGTCGCTAATTTGCGACAAACTTTGCGACAGATTTCTAATTCCGTCGCAAATTAGTGACGAAAAATTTCCGTTGCAAATTTGCGACGAATTTATTTTCCGTCACAAATTAGCGACGGAAAATAAATCTGTCGCAAATTCCGTCGCTAATTTGCGACGGAAAATAAATCCGTCGCAAAATTCGTCATAAATTTGCGATGGAAAATTTTCGTCGCTAATTCCGTCGCAAATTAGCGACGACTAATTTTTCGTCGTAAATTTGCGACGAATTTTGCGACTGATTTATTTTCTGTCGCTAATTTGTGCAATGAAATTTACCATTTTGCGACGAAAGTAGAGACGAATTGGATGATTGTCACAAGTTCAAATTCAAAAGAGATTGGACGATTTGCTACACGTCCAATTCTAAGAGAGATTAGATTTACAAATTCAAATTAGATAAGAAGATCTATTATAAACTCAAGATATTAGATAATCTCTTAAAATGTTCTCATCCCAAATAAGCTTTTTTAGATTCGATAGGTGCAAATCTTATCTTTTCTTTTTTCAAGACTTAGCTATAGATAACGCAGATATCTATTTAGTTGAATGTGGCGGTTTCCTCCGCACGTAGCTCTTATGTATGAGTAAATATATGGGTAAATAAATTATAGCAATTTTCAAATAGATCGGAATCGGGTGGATATATGAAATGTAAAGTCAATGTATCTATATAGGGATATCTATAGGAGATCTTATAAAAGAGATATTCTTATTTAGACCTAATCAATTTGATCTAACCAATTAGATGAATTACTCCTAAAGGGTTACATCCGAATGATAAGTGAATAGAGGGCATGCATTCTATTAGAGAAATATTTAGAAGATTCCCTATATTTCCTTTAATTGATTGTAATTGATATTTTCCCTTTTAGATAGTCATCCTATAAAACCGATAAATAGGTTCGTGTACTCTTCATTTGACAATGATATATATATATTTTTTGCTCTTAATTTTTTTTATCACATTCTTGACTTGGTATCAGAGCCCTATTGTTATTTGAGAAAGCGTCAATCGAGTTTGTTTGTAACAATGACATCCACATCAATCATGTTTCTCCACAGTATTCGTAATGCTAGTCACATTATATGTAAAAGTGTAGAAGCATATCTACTCAAGGTTTCGACGGAATTAGCGACGGATTTGAAAAATTGGTCGGTAAAAACATTTCCATCGCTAATTCCGTTGCAAATTTGCAACGGAAACAAAATCTGCGATGGAAAAAAAAATCCATCTCAAATTTTGCGACGGAAAAAAAAATCCGTCGCAAATTTGCGACTCCCTCTAAAAAAAAAGAGCGAGCGAAGGGGGAATAAAAATCCCCTCCGACTCCCTCGCCGCCTCCTCCGACGACGACACCACCGCCAAGCGCGGCAAGAAGCGCTGTAGCTACAACTGCAGCCGCTGCGGCCTCTCCAAGAAGGGCCGCTCCTGCCATGCCGGCTCCTCCCCCTCCCCGCCGCCGACTCCTCCGCCGCTGCCACTGTCGCAGCCTCCTCCATGCCCGTCAACGCCGCCGCTGCTGCCGCCTCCTCCGCATCCGCTGTCGCCCTCACGCCGTCCTCGCTCTCATCCGCCGCGTGCTCTCCTTCGACGACCTCGACGTCCGCGCCGACGAGGAGGAGGAGGACTTCGACGAGGTGGAGCCGGATCTCGACGAGTGGGATCGGGATTTCGTGGACGGGGATGCGGACGCCGGCGGGTTGCCCGCCAGGTGCTTGTGGGAGGTCCTGAGGAGGTTGCCGCCGGCGGAGCTGCTCGCGGTGGTGCGGGTGTACAAGGGGTGGCGGGAGATCTCGAGGAAGGTGTGGTGGGCCGCCGAGGATATGAAGCTCAGGGTTCCCTCGAGAGCTCAGCTCTGTACTGAGAATTTATATTAAAGCATGTACTATTGTTGCCAAAGGTTAGAAGGAACTCTGCAAGGCTGAGTTTGTGGTAGATATACCAGGTTTCAGCCGTGGATTAGATACAATTTGCATTGTGCCAGTTGTGAGGAGGCCAACCTGTAATAAATTTTTGCCGCACATCCGTAACTATTTTTATAATTCGTTGCTAATTTGCGACGAATTAATAAAAATTCGTTGCTAAATTCGTTCCCGAACAATGTTCGTGGCAAAATAGCGACAAATTTTGCCACGAATTAGTTTGTCGCAAATTATTAACAAAAAAAAAAGAATTTCGTGGCAAATTAGCAACAAATTTTGCGACGAAAAATTAGCGACGAATTTTGCGACGAAAAATTAGCGATGAATTTTACGATGAAAATTTGTGACGAAAAATTAGTGACAAATTTTGCGATGACTTTTGCGACGAATTTTGCGACGATTTTTGCGACAGATTTTGCGACGATTTTTGCGACGAACTTTGTGGCGGATAGTGTTCGTGGCTAATTTGCGACGAACTTTGCGACGGATAGTGTTCGTGGCTAATTTTTGCGACGAATTTTGCGACGAAATATTTGCGACGAACTTTGCGACGGATAGTGTTCGTGGCTAATTTGCGACGATTTTTGCGACGAATTTTGCGACGAAATATTTGCACGAACTTTGCGACGGATAGTGTTCGTGGCTAATTTGCAACGAATTTTGCGACGAATTTTTTGCAACGAATTTTACGACGAATTTTTTTTTCGTCGCAAATTTGCGACGACCTAGTAGCGACGGAATTTTTTCCGTCGCTAAATTCGTCGCAAAAATGATTTGCAACGGATTTTTGCGATTTTTTCGTCGCAAAATCCGTCGCAAAAAACATGTTTTTTTGTAGTGAAGACTTCACAAGGAAAATGCTCAAGAGACATGCTTTTAACCTTAAATCCCACATAGATGGGTCAAACCATTAAAAATGAGTAGCTTATCTTTTGTCTTAGTTTTTTTAGACATCACATTTTATAGACTTCTTTTCACCCACATATTTGATTCATGCACTTGCAATGTGGCTGTCGTCCTAAAGGCGAACTCAGGTGCCATAATAACTACCTCGGCAAGAAATCGCCGCTCGGAGCCTACCTTACAACCTTACCACTCTTTGACTCTCACGCTCAGCATCCGCCTCAACTTCGCCAGAGGATGCCACATTTTTTGTAAAACGTGGGAGCCACAGGAGAGAGAAAGATAATTGTCGAGAGAAAAGAGAATGATGAGGACGAAGGAAAGTGGGACCCACAAAAAAAGAAAACAAAAAAAAAACACCAAAGGAACAATTAAGATGCTGTATGGTGGGACCCATAACGGGTGAAATGGTCATAATACTTTATTGGAGAGTGTTTTAGCCAAACTAGGAGTGGAAAAAGCCTGATTCTAAAAAAAAAAGATGTTGAATAGTATAAATTACCCACGATGGGCCACGACCTGGTCAATGGCCCACAAGTCTCGACCCGAAAGAAACAAAGTCCATGACCCGACAGGTCATCGTGACTTCAGCACTCGAAAACCGGATTTTACCATGAAAAAGAGAAGAGGCGCTTGATCGAAGCAGTCTTCTTCTCCCACACGCACTTCGCATTCCCCCCCTCTTTCTCTCTCTATCTCTATGCAGCAAGCAAGCTGCAACGATGGAAGTTCAGATGACGAGCCGGATGCGTGGAGGTGGTGAGGCCATCGGCGGAAGAAGGGAAGCCCCTGTCCGATCGCAGCAACGCTCTTGACAGGTCTCCTCCTCCTCATAAAACTCTCTTTCAATTAGGGATGAAGAAAGATATGACATTTTTTTTAAGTTTTTGATAAAGACACATTTAATTTTTCTGTACGTTTGGATGTAGATAATGCCATAGTGTTGTATACCAATAAGAGCTATTTTCACCATTCAGGACGGAAAACACACTCTTTTATTTCATTTCAGTTGTATAACTCAATTAATCAAAGGACTTTATTGAAGAAAGTCTTCTTCTTCGACCATAAATGGAGGAAATATAGCGCATAAAGAAAAATGTCAAATTACACTATTTAGATAAAACTTCGTCCAGCAACTTGTCCAAATTCATGGAAGATGACCCTTTTTCACCAACAGCTTCCTCTGCCATCTTCTTCCACTCCATGGCCTTGCTTCTCATTTTCTTCCCCACCTCTCCTTCCATCAACTCCCTCACAAGCCTCTCCATTGCATCTCTCTTCACATTACTATCCATCTCCAACCCAATCCCCCAATCATCACATATATACTTGCAATTCGTCAGTTGGTCTCCGAAGCATGGCCAACACAGCATCGGAACTCCGGCTGACAAGCTCTCAATAGTCGAGTTCCAGCCACAGTGCGTCAAGAAACCTCCGACTGAAGGGTGGTCCAACACTTTCTCTTGCGGGCACCACCCTGATAAAAAGCCTCTCTCTCTTGTTTCCTCAACAAACTCTCTAGGAAGATTCGCCGTGTCTCCATTCACTGCATCAGGCCTCAAGACCCACAAGAAACATTGATCGCTATTGGCCAATCCCATCGCAAATTCAACCAACTGTTGGTGTGTCATGAATGCTATACTCCCAAAGTTCACATAGATCACGGACTTAGGCTCCTTCAAGTCCAACCACTCAAGGCACTCGTTGTGCTCTTCCAAGAGATTGCACTCAATGTGCTTCGAGGCGAAAAAATTTTCTCGAGCGATTTGATCGATCATTAAGTGGAGTGGTCCAACCGTATAAACCCTAGAGATCATTGAGGAGAGGGCATGTAGCACATCCGGCTCAAGTGCCTCGAAGGTGTGGACAATGGTCATCGTGGCGTTACCTGTCTTGTTGCCAGTGTCGGCAAGGAAGTTGAACAAGGTGTCATCGGAGCCAGTGATTCGGATGAAGTGAGGCATGTCGCGCAGCCTCATGTTTTTCATTCCCGAGATCCAGGTGATAAGGGTGTTCCCATACCCGTTCATCAATTGGGATTCATCTGCACGCATTCATATCCATGCAATCAAACGGCAACAAATCTAATTACGACGACTTTTTCTCGTTTTTGACCAAAAAAAAAAGAATAAGTCACAATTCACATACAGTGCAGTAATGGATATTTAGAGAAAATTACCAAAAATGTCTTAAACCTATTGTACGGATGCCAATTTAATTTTAAACTTTTCAATTTGGCCAATTTAGTCCTAAACCATTGACGATTTGCCAATATAGTTCTTCTGGCCAATTTTGCTCATAAATCATTAACTTGGACGTCGGCTGTCCTATATGGCATGGCCAGTTTGATGTGGATAATTTTTGCAATTATTGCGATTTTTCTTTTCTTTTTTTTTTTCATTATGGTTCGGCAATCCTCATCGACACTGGACATGGGCCGCAAAGCCCTCGTCCATATCTTGTAAGGGCCACAATGCCCTTTGCCAGATTTGGGCTAGGCGAGCGCATCGCGACCTTCGCCTATGGCCAGCGACCTCCGTCGACACTACTGAGGCCGCAAACCAGTGGAAGGAAACAAGAAAAAAATCATTTTGTAAAAAAAAAAATTGCATAAATTGTCTATGTCAGCGTTGCTCGTGCCACATTGAACAACCAATAACGATAAAACCTATGTAAGGGAATTTAAAGCCTAGGTATGAAGAACTATGATTGACTGTTTAGATCGAAGTCAAGACTGTTTTGATCGAAGTCAAGATTATTTATACATGTGCGGAGTAAAATGCAAATATCACTAGAATCTTATCGTGTGTGGCAGTTCTCCCGTACCACACGTATCGTGTAATTACCAAAGACATGTTTATGTGTTCCTAAGGCTGGCCTTAAAAAATGTAAAATACGGTGGATTCGAACATGCACCTTAAGCAATGGAGGAGGAACGCGCACCCTTTGGGCTAATACAAATGTTGTTAATTAATTAAAACTCAAACATATTTATCCCATCATTAACAACAATATCCTGACTTATTATTACCTGTGAGTGGTGCAAGACCGTTTTCTCCGAGGGCTCGCAAATGTTTCACCGCCATGAGGGCACAGCCGGGTATAGTGAACAAGTGTATGAGTGGAATCCCAAATTTTGAAGCCGCAGGACTCGTCGTAAACGTCATGAAACCGTCCGAGACGATGCAAGTCACCGGAGGGACACTCGGGTTCGAGCCCAGGCTCGATACGAGATCGCTGAAGGGGCCGATCATATAGTTCCTCGTCGAGTTGCAGAGCGCCGGGATGTCCTGAATCGCATCCGCGTCCGAAAGAGGAAGACCATCGGGGATTGTCAGGAACTGAAAGTTGCTCAGTGTTCCATTCACGAACTCGAGGCCTCGGGCTCTGGTGAGCCGTCGGTGATTGAACTCGGTGTTGACAAAGGAGATGTGGAAGCCCTTGTGGTGGAGGAGCTTTGCTAGCTTGAGCATGGCCCCGATGTGGCTTTGTGCAGGGAGTGGAATGCAAACTGCGTGTGGCTTTGTGGCCGATTCGAGTCCGGCGGAACCCATTCTCTTCTCACCAGAGAATGATGATTCAAATGACTTTTTAAAGATGAGTTCAACTCGGCCTGGTTTATTGATCCTTGAGTTGAGCTTCCCCCCTTATATAACTTATGTCAACTATTTTGCCCTTATTTTTTGCGTGATTTCCAACTATGGCACCACGTTGTAATTTGTCATATTTAGTTGGATTTCACCTCCTTGTCATATTTAGCAGATAATATAAAACTTAGTTGCTTCTAATTGACTCAAACTTTTAGCATGATTGTAATGATATTGAATGGATAGACCGTGTTCAAACGAGCTACAACATATTATATCTAGTTGCAATATGCTAATATGAAAATTCATTAAAATCTTGTAATTAGACGAGAAGCAACCTGATTAATCAGTAGATGGAGGAGGCCAATTGCATAAACCTTAGGGATCATTGAGGTGAGAGCGCACGGTACGTCTAGCTCCAGTGCTTCGGAAGGATGTGGATGATTGGTCCCCGTGGCCTCAACTGCCAACTTGATAACAGCATTGTAGGAGCCATTGATTCCATGCACTTTGGGCTAGTCACAGAGCCTCACATTTCTCTTTCTTGGGATGCAGACGATAAGGGTCTCCCCATAGCCGTCTGCTATAAGATATTCATCCGCATGCATGCGGATCACAAGTTACAGGAATCATAATTGGAATCCTATGCGGCATAAGAGCGTGCGTGTGTAATTCATTCGTCACACATCCACATCCGCCGCCATTGACATGAGTAGTTTTAGTTTGAAACATTAATCAATCATCGAAATCAATAATGATGGATACAGCTTGTCTAAAAGAAGATTACGACGGTTGTGTATTTAATATTAGTTCCATTATAGTATCCGAAGATATTTTACTCGTTCAAAGTAACAAATATCGTCTCACGTCGACTCACCAAGCAATAGGATGGAATCGAGTAAGCTTCTTTTGCTTTCCTGGACAACGGGCGTTTGTCATCATCGATGCATAGTAACCAGAAAACACTCGACTAGTTTGGGATGTATTCGCAACATCGCTTTCGTGGGTAGCAAAGGAATCTCGCATAATGCAGAGGGGTGCAACTCAGTTACGCAACTGCAGTGATGTCTCATTCATATATAGAGATCCACAAGATATTGACTAATGACAGAAATCCCTAATTGGTATGCTAAAATTGATTTAAGTTTAAGGAAAACCATGGACCAAGGAAAATATAGCCAATCCTAACTAACTTTTTATATAAGATACCAGTGCGTCATACAAGTCTAAGATTTGTATTTGTTATATTGCTCGATTATGTAGTCAACGTGAATTTTCGTAAGAGAAATAATATGCATAAAATCATGATAGAAGAAAGATCCTTATTAACTAAATTATCCTTTAGAATTTACGTCTAATTTAAAGTGGATTCTAATTCTATCTTGTAGAGTTATCCTCCAATTTAAAGAAAATACGAGACATAAAGTTGTAATATTTGTTAATTATACTATAAGTACATGCAATATTCCGAGCAAGTGATATAATCTGAATCAGTAAATATCATGAAAGCACTAGATAAGTATGTAAATTCTTCCCTCTTGATTGCTTTCTTCAATTTGTCGGAACATGGAATCGAGTAAGCTTCTTTCGCTTTCCTGGACAACGGGCGTTTGTCATCATCGATGCATAGTAACCAGAAAACACTCGACTAGTTTGGGATGTACTCGCAACATCGCTTTCGTGGGTAGCAAAGGAATCTCGCATAATGCAGAGGGGTGCAACTCAGTTACGCAACTGCAGTGATGTCTCATTCATAGAGACCCACAAGATATTGACTAATGACAGAAATCCCTAATTGGTATGTAAAATTGATTTAAGTTTAAGGAAAACCATGGACCAAGGAAAATATAGCCAATCCTAACTAACTTTTTATATAAGATACCAGTGCGTCATACAAGTCTAAGATTTGTATTTGTTATATTGCTTGAAATTATGTAGTCAACGTGAATTTTCGCAAGAGAAATAATATGCATAAAATCATGATAGATGCATAAAGTGGATTCTAATTCTATCTTGTAGAGTTATCCTCCAATTTAAAGAAAATACGAGACATAAAGTTATAATATTTGTTAATTATACTATAAGTACATGCAATATTCCGAGCAAGTGATATAATCTGAATCAGTAAATATCATGAAAGCACTAGATAAGTATGTAAATTCTTCCCTCTTGATTGCTTTCTTCAATTTGTCGGAATCTTCACCTTTGTGCCGTGGACTAGGTGTCGAGAAATTAGTTTTCATGTGGCCACCCCGTTGTGTCATGTGCTGGTTTGCTCCTAAATATGGATTAACTTGAGTGTTGAATGGAGCTCGGCGTAGAACTAAGTTTGGGTTAATATAACTAGGACCGACAACTTCCAATTCGTCATGCTCCGCGTTTCATGCATTTTCACAGGATTTTTCCTCGAACATTCTCACGAACCACGTCGGTGTCCTAAGTTGTAAGACAACATATGCAATGGTTAGTCCCCACAGTAGTCCACATCCATAACCCATCAACAGAGTCTTCCAATCCAATGAATCCTGATGCACGCTTTCGACAGAGGAAATCCGCATAACTCCAAGTTACCGAGGTAGGATTCATCCTCAAACGTAGTAAAATAGTTCCCTTGGGGTATAGGACCCCGTAAGGCAGTTCTTTGAGAGGTTTAAGATCGAGAGGGATGTCAAGCCTGCCAACTCCGAAGGAATCACACCGATGAGCTTGTTTGAAGAATGGCCTAACCGTTCAAGCTGGGCGAGATTCACAATTGATTGAGGTATAAAATCTGTGATGTTTTTGTGAGAAATGTATAAACCTGGAACCAAAACGAGCTCTCCAATGGTCCCAGGGATTTCTGTTTGGAAGTTATTATTGGACAAGTCAAATGATTCTGGAGGCATTCCAAATTTTCACGAGCTAGATCTCCATTCCTTTCAATATCACTGCCGTGGAATCTATGTACGGGTTCATAAAAAAATGGAACTCCCAGAAATGGGCAACATTTGCCTAGTATGTACAGTAGATCATCTTGTCCAGTATCTGCATCCAGCATTGCTTAAAATTTGAGATGTACTCGGTAGGAAAAGCATAAGTGAAGTTAATGTTTGACAGGTCCACAATTCTCAACATTGGGAAGGGATGATCTGTCGTAGGACAGTTCACTGTGCCAGAGAATTCATTTAGCCTGAGAATCATAACTCGCAATTGAGTAAGGGTTTCCAACCAATCTGGGAATGCACCCGCAATCTTGTTGTCACTGACATCTTGAACCTGCAACATCATGCAGGTTGCTAAAGATCCAGGCAATGGGCCCTCCAGTTCATTTCGGTTCAAATCGAGACTCCTCAATTTACATTTCTCAGCAAATGTCCTCCAGGAGCATGCCTTGTAAATTGTTCATGCCGATGTTTATGACTAAGAGAAACATGTGGAAACTCACCAAACATGGGGCAATCGAGCCATTCAAGCTGTTGTTTGACAAGTTTAGGACATCAAATAAGTTGCAGTATTGCAAACTAATATCGCTATCTCTCTTGTGAAGTTACTATTGTTGTAGCTAGCAAGGATCACCTAGAGGGGGGTGAATAGGTGATTTAAACAATTTTGATCAATTTATAGCGGAAATGATTGATCACAGTTGAGTCTGAATAAAATTTAGATTCAAAATAGTTTATATAGACAATGCTCTTGATGTGCAGTATGTAAAGTAAGAAATAAGGGATAGAAAAACTGCACACAAGTTTATAGTGGTTCGGCTTACAGCAAGCCTATGTCCATTCTCCCATGCTGATAGCCTACTGGCTGAATTTCACTATGTAATCAAGAAGAATTACAGATTCTGAGTGATAGCATTCTTGTGTATGATAAGACTCTCTATCTCACACAATCACTCTTACAAAGTATCCCTCAAGATCTTAATGTTTAGCTCAAGAAAGACAAGAGAAAGGATCGTAGTATGCTCAGACTTTGGACTTGTTGATTCTCGATTTTGTACATTGCCTTCTGCTCCTCGTAGATCTCCTTTTATACTCCTCCACTCCCAAACTAGCCATTGGACAGTCTTCAGCGGATCATCTTCCAATCTTCATCTTGGACAGATTTGTATTAAATGGATTGAGTAGCCGTTGATTGACAAAATCTGAATCCCGCTGATTCTGGTCGCCCATACAATCAGAATCTTAATTTTCATAAGTAGAGCTTTATCTGTTGTAATGCAGACTTGTCATAATGTTTGATTGTCAATCAATTATAGCTTTAGATTGAGACACTCAAAACTTTCCTTTTATGAAATCCATACCAAATCACTGGCTATTGTGTTTCATTTTGAATGAGTTTTGCTTCTGTGTCTGAAAAACTACTGCGTCTGCATCTGCATAATTTCTGCGTCTAAAGAATTTCTGATTCTTGCTTTACATTCAGAACCTGAGTCAGCGTAGGTCTTCAGTAAAATCTGAGTTCTTCAAAATTAGAGTCTGAATGACTTTTATGGTAAAATAAGAACTTCTCATTCCTGAGTCTGAACTTTTTAGTTCTTGTAAAGTCTGATATTTCCTTCTGAACTTCTAGAATATATTAACCTGGAATGGAATGCATGTCAGATTCTCAAGATAAACATAGAAAGTTTTATCAGCTTCAAAATTCATTAGAAGTTTTCCTCAACAATCTCCCCCTTTTTATGGTGACAAAACTTCAATGCAGATTCAATCAATGTCAAATAAATTTGAATAAAATAATTATATTAAGTGCATGAAATACAGATAAAAAATAAATGTGCAAACTCTTAAGATCTGTGTATTTCTCTTCCTTTGAGTATAATCTGCATATTGGAATGTTAGTACAGCAATATCTGCATAATCTCTCCCCTTTTTTGTCATAAGCAAAAAGAATAAATCAATAATAAGCAGAATAAAGTACTGATATAGACCATCCAAATAGTCGAAAAAAGACAAATGTTAAGAATACATAACTAGTTTGGAAATAAATATGGTTTAAAAAGAGGGTATGTAAAGCAGGCTATTTCTTTGATGGGGTTCGAACAAGCTGAAAATTTTCCAGGAT